CACATCAGTTTGGTGAGTACTGACCAACACATTTCCTGAGCCGACCACCAGTAGCGATCGGATCACAGTGTTCCACACCTATCCCTCAATATACTACGGCCAGTAGATCAAATCGCCGATCACCGGTGAAGACTATGTAAATCGGCATTGAATTCTATTACACCCATATAACAACTACCTTCGTTTTCGTAGAACTTATACGATGCATCATCTTTTATTTTACCAAACCCAACAATAAGTATGTGTATTATCTACATAACAACAACCCTCAGTCATCACTCACAAGAGAGTCCTTATAACGGTTCAAGACGCTGCACGGCTTATGCATTTTCCGAGAGCTATGCTCCACTACTGAACCCCTATGCTGGTGGAAGGAGTGCTGCTATACTTCAATTCCTCTCCACACCACCAAAGGAGGACCTTTTTCAAGCCTAGCCAAGAGAATTCTACCCATAGCTGGAGTTCGCCCAAACGTCGAGCCAGTCGAAGATGCCCCCTCCGCCCGAGTACTACCGCAACCATAAATACTATTGGTATGACAATATCCAAGTCACCAAGGTCACTTTGGAGCAAAGTGTATCCCGAGGCGATCAAAATTAGCAGAGACGTAACTGAGCACCGTATAAATGCCTCAGTGCGTTAAGCATGCATTATACCAATCGAACGACACGGGTTCAATTACCAATGACTTCATTTACAACGCTGAGCATCTGTGATATCACGTCCAGCGCCTTCAACCCGTATCCATTATATGCATACCACCACATATGCAACACTTGGAATAATAACACCAACGCCTGCCAGAGACAACATCCCACAATAAACCACAGAAATCCAAACATACTCAAAACTAAGGAGTTGACCCGAAAATAACATCAAAATTGTAGCCGAATTCGAAGTGGTATACGAGCACGCAGCACCACAGTTATACTAAGGATTCCCTCGACTGGATCCCTCCCCCTCCCTCCTCACTTGAAGTGATATGATACAAGCTAGTGTTATGACAAGGGGATGCAACGACTCAGCTGAGCGGATAAAACGGCGACATGCCAGGTAAAAACGGTACGAGAATGCACCTGTACATCAAGTTCGTAATTAAACTACAGTGCACAGCAAGCCGTTATGAGCCGTACAACGACTTCAATTTTGTCAAATTGGAGTAACATCAACATGATAACAATGTGATACGATAACAACGTTTCAGAGTTATTCCGTAGTCTATATTCGTACTCTCAAAGTGAAAAAAAGCCATCTCGAAAGTCTACATATGTATAACTGTTTGGATAATCGCCAATCTAGACTGAGATGGAAGATCATCCTCACCATATATTAAAACCTGCATAAGAAGTAGCCACTGTACGCCACTTCGCTCCGCTGAGAATTCACTGCCGTCCGGTTGTGTTGCTATAAACTCGAATCTAAGGTTCATCTCGACAAGATACAGATCAGGCCCGATTCTGGTCATCACCTTAATCGCCCAGGGATGTCGGTGAAATAATTATGCTCGCAATCGCTGATCGCCCAATACCAAACTCGTGGATGCTTGGATGTGTACAAGTGGCCCTGACATATGAATAGAGGGGCCGCTATGCCAGAGGACTATACTCTTGAGATATCTATTTGGCGAATACAGGCCCCTATGCCAGAGGACTATACTCTTGAGATATCTATTTGGTGAATACGGGCCCCTATGCCAGAGGACCATACTATTGAGATATCTATTTGGCGAATACGGGGTCGCTATGCCAGAGGACTACACTATTCAAATATCTATTTGGCGAATACGGGGCCGCTATGCCAGAGGACAACCCTGTAGAAATATCTATTCGGCGAATACGGGACCGCTATGCCAGAGGACTATGCCATTGAAATATCCATTTGATGAATATGGGGCCGCTATGCCAGAGGACAACTCTGTTGAAATATCTATTCGGCGAATATAAGACCGCTATGCCAGAGGACTATGCTATTGAAATATCCATTTGGCGAATACGGGACCGCTATACCAGAGGACTATACCACTAAGATATCTACTCGTCGAATAGGGTGTGTGCTATGAATTATCAATTGCACTGGTTTCGAATCAGTTCTCATTGTAGAAGACGATCCAGATGCAAAAACTCGCTAACTCGTACATCCCGAATCGATAATTTCTGTTACATAACCCCGCGTACAAGTCTACCCGTCAGAATTCCCCCCAGTATTATTTTGTACCTATTACAACTGCTTGAAACAACTTATGAGCTCGTAAACAGAAATTGACATATGAAAATAATGTCCTACCATGACCCCTATTACTTCAATCCATGGTCCCCACTCCCCACCAGCTGGTAGGGCTATCATCATCGTACCATCCTGTACTGTCCGCTTTCTACATTCCACCTCCATCTCGGCTCTCAAGAAGGAGTCCTCTCGATATCTAATGAGACCCCATTAGCCAAGCTCAGCAGTTTACATACGAATTCGGGTAGAAATGTGCAGGAACCAATAAGAGTTTCCCAGCTGTAGAATCACCAGTGTTGGAGGAATTAATGTTCGCCTTCCTCAGCTCAGCTCAGAAGTTTCCTCATCAATTCGGTAAAAGTGTACAGAAACTAACGAGAACTTGCTCAAAATTTCCATAGTGTCACCAACACGTAGTGGACCATGTGCATATTTTCCCTTCCCCCACTACTACTACATATCCACAGGCAGGAATATCAGCTCATTCGTATGATTCCTAATCGTCTGAATGCGAAGCTTCCAAGTTCCTCTACCTAACAGTAATAACACCTTCCATTCCACAATAGTTTACAGAATTATTTATTCCAAATGAATGCATAGTGTATGGGGGAAATAAACACATGGTCAACCACATTTGTTGGTGACAACACGGAAATTCGGACGAAACCCTGGGAATTCTGATTGGTTCCTGTACACTTCCCCCCGAATTCGTGAGGAGACTCCTGAGCTCAGCCGAGGAAGTGAATATACATTCCAACGCTGCTCACACGTATCACTCTCAAATGTGTTGAGCAATTATTATGGCTCCTCTAACCTTGCACTCCACCACGAGTGTTTGATGAGGATTGGAGCGCACAGAAGAATAGCCAATTCTGGAACTGGGAGCGAAGTCAGTTCACACAGATTCGAGACTTTAACTGTCCTGAAACTGTACCACGAATGAAACATGGTACTACAGTCAGTTAAAGTGTGACACAAACGGACGGAACAGGATGTCAGTATTGTAATGGGAGTTTCCTCACTAATAGTGCGCCCTCGAGATTTCACCATCTTCTAACTCACCAATATGATATCTAAACTTCGACACATACCTCCACTTGGAGTCGCTCGTTTTATTGCCTCCCAGTCTGATCCCACCGGACTGGAATTTAGCCTGGACCCTGGCAAGGAGGGATAATAACAGAAGGAATGCGATACTCATCGTGTTCATAAATTCACAACTGTTGAATTCTTTTTCTTGGAACAGAATTACACAAAGTCTGGCATGGTATGTTATACGTGTCACAAGTGGGATGTTCATCAACCTTCACCAACTAAAGGAATAAACAAACCCCTCTAAGGAACAATGATCAGTAGTTAAGACCGAAAGTTTCGTTGATTCTCTTGTTATCTCGCATCTTATCAACATGTGCACTAATTCATGGATATCT